ATGGTCCTCGTTCTGTTTGATATGATTTGCTTTTGTTTGAGCCACGAAGGTAATGCTCAGTGGAATATGAACGAAAGTTGATAAATATTTCGTGGAAATATTTTACCTATTTCTTTCAGAATTATTATTTATGATTACTTATGCTATATATATACTTAATAAGACATTCAGCATATTTTGTATAATATCGAATCAGCAGTTTTGATTGCTCATAAACTGAGAAGGAAACCATAATACTACTTTGAGTTACCTTATCTAGAATTGTATGGGTGTGGAAAAAGAAAACTACAAAATTGTAAGTATAATTTTGTGTTCAAATAACTATCAAACTGTAACCGACCATTCGTTTAGCTTCTGCGTCAAACATAATATGTATTCCTCTAACTCCAGACCTCAGAACGCTCTCTAGACAACACTCCGACGTAACAGACAGTAGACACGAGCCGCCAAACCATTACAGGTCCTCGCAATTCTTCCCACAAAGTACTGTGTTTATCGTATGAATCAATGATAGTATTACGTGAGCGAACTGACCAAAATTGGTTTGCGGTTTCCGTGATCCAATTTGTTGGTCTCCGGAGTATGGTACGAAGCGTTCCGCATAGCAAATGATTGAATTGTTCGAACCTCATAAAATTGGCAGGTCTAGGTGGTTGGCAGTGTAATTTGACGAGGATTTATCATAATAACATGATCCTTGCTTGTTGCAAGGCTGTTTTTCCTTGAAACGAGAGGTGAGGTGTTGATGGGAGCAGTTATGTTGTTACGAGAGTGTAATAAGTAATATGCGGTCTATGGTTATCTACATAACATAACATAACATCACGCCTTATATCCCAGAGGCAGAGTACTTACGGCACTTAATGCCACTGTACAATGTAACACCCACTTTTCACTATTAATGTTATGAGTCCCATGTAATAGGGGTGAGCCTATTGCCATATACCGGGCACATTTCCAGACTCCGTGCCACTAATGAGGTTTTTACAAACCCAGTAATAATTTGCCCGACCCGGGGATCGAACCCGAGACCCCTTACCCGGCAGTCGCACTTGCGACCACTCGGCCAATGAGGCAGTCAGTATGGTAATCTATAGAGTATAAATAATGAAATAGTTAAACTACTGATGGCTTGAAAATATCTTGCAATAGTAATAAATTTTTGCATTTACAAATATAAAAGCTTCATAGTTCTAAAGTGACCAATACTTTAACCAATAAAAGTTTCAAAGCAGACCACTAAAATACATCGAAGATCTTCAGAGCACTTTACGCCAAAACTTATAAAATGATCGTCAATTTTTCGATAAGATAGGTTTCATAAATCCCGTAACGTTGCAGTGTAGAGGAATTTCTCTAGGTAATCTGTTTATAGCGGGGAGAATTAAATTTATCACAACATCAAAATTTTGCAGCGAAACCAGTAGAGGGTGGAAAATTTGATTTGCCGCCGTGTCGGGTAAATATCGATAAAAACAGAGATGAAACTCAGTGCTCAGTGTTCAGCGGCTGAATAATATTTTAACAGTTATTTTTATATTAAAATTGAGCTGGTAACGTACCTAGGTAATTTTATTAGGTATTTTTATGACATAACATAACATCACGCCCCGCCGTTTATTCCCGAAGGGGTAGGCAGAGGTGTACATTATGCCACTGTACAATGTAACACCCACTTTTTACTATTTATGTTATGAGTTCCATGTAATAGGGGGAAAGCCTATTGCCATATACCGGGCACAATTCCAGACACCGTGCTACTTTTGAGAATTAAAAAAAAACCCAGTATTACTTTGCCCGACCCGGGAATCAAACCCGAGACCCCTAGTAGCACTTGCAACCACTCGGCCAACGAGGCAGCCATATTTTTATGATGTAAACATATTATTACTACATATATTCGTAAACATATAAATTTAAATAAACTACTAAAAATATAAAAATGAAATTAGCTCTAAACGATAGACGATGATACTCTGGGCTTGAGAAGTATTTTTATTAGCATTTCAGTAAAGGTACCGAGATTGCAAACCGCCATTAACTTAACATAAAAAAAGGTTTGTTTTGATACGAAATTAATTTAAAAAGTTGACTTTATTATGTAATCCGAGTAGCCATAAAAATGAAATGATTAAAAAACATTCAAATTTCATGAATATTAAGTGAAGTTTTGACAATGTAAATTAAAAGAACCGACTTAGGTTGTTTACAAAAGATAAAAGTTTTTGATTGTTTGTAAGTACCTAAGTGGTTAGCAAGCAGTTCTGGAACTAGAATTCGATATTTAAAGTTTATTCAAATGAATAGAGAGTTTAATTAACATTTGTTTGGCTTGACTAACTTGGAAAAGAAATACCAACATCAACATTACATATTCCGAAGAAAAATATACCTAGGGATAAAATTTTGTGTCCAGTGAAAGCTACATCTCTAATTACTTATACTAGTTCAATTTCTACTTTATTTCGATTTTTAAATTTGTACAGGTTGTCTTAGCAGGTAGCCAAGAAAAATGAAAAAAAAAAATTGGCACTAAGTACCTATTTCTTTATTTAAAAACACACCAAAAATGTTACTCATTATAATTCAAAATCGAACTTTACCTGATCAAAGTTTACATCGCATTAAATAATCTACAGAGGTTTCGAACATAAAGTTACAATATACTTATGCATGTACTATCGGAACAATGATCTTGAATTACATAACGCGAACAATGCGGTTACAAGAGTGTGGAATGCGATTAAATGAGCTTCGACGTGCTTACGGCTTGTTACCGCATATTTCAGACCGTATTACTAAGTAAATTGTTTACAGAAAATCAACTTTGTACAATTTGAGAGCAGGTAATTGGTTCAAAATATAATACTATTTTGATTCTGCAATTAAAATGGTGGCATTAGGATATTCGAAAAGAGTAATAACGAATTATAATCCTCGAAGGGGTAAGTGAGGTTGTACAATGCACGGTTGGCGCTGTGGCTGGGCACCTGGCTGCCGCGCAACGGATCGCGGGTTCGATTCCCGCACGGAACAACTCTTTGTGTGATCCACAGATTGTTGTTCCGGGTTTGGGTGTCATGTGTATGTGAACTTGTATATTTGTAAACACACCCACATCACGAGAAAATCCTAGTGTGGGGCTTATAAAAAGAAAGGATGTGTTAACTTAAATGTTCGAATACACTTTCGAATCCTAGTTCAACTATGGTTTTCTGTTTTGTATTAGGTGCTCACATTTTGGGGTCAAAAAAGGTGCTCATATTTTTACCTATATTAATGGATACAATATACCTCCATGTCTATCCTTCTTTTCCTTTACAGGCACGTATTTATCAATGTCATCACTGGAACTTCCTTATACGAAACCAGATGGTAAATTAAGTATTACACCGTCTTCAGCCTGTTCAAAAGTTTAGGAAAGCGTTTTATCTTGATTATATCGAATGCTTCTTTGGTTGAGTAGATGCAAATGCGACTAGAGCAAGAATTTCTGATTATGTTACCGATGTTGACTAGAGTTCTTTAGTTTTTGAAGTGATTAGGTACGTACCTAATCACTTCACCTAGACACGTGTCTAGGTAGGAAGCTGCTGCTCAATATGTCGCGGTTTTATTTTCAGACGCAATTATTATTTGTATGATCCACAATTTGGTGATTTCTGGCAGAAGTGTGATGTGTGTCGACTCGAAAATGAGACACTGGAAAATGAAGCAAAAATTAAACTGTCAAACACCAAGCGGTCACCGGTGACCGCAACCTATTGTTCTATAATTGTGTCTACAAAACCGGTACTCGACGAGTTAATTAGGCGATGAAGGATACATTAATTCTACACCTTTGCCAAACCTTTTGATAAATAAAAGACGACTAGGTAGGTACTATTTTATGTATAGTGCAGGAGCTCTAAGCGGCATCTTGCCAGCGATGTTACGATACATTATCGCGCACGGTATTCCCGACGTTCCAACGTGTCCTCAGACGTTCGAGCGTGCCAACTAGTCAGATAGCACATCAATAATTACGACTTATCGATTTAAGAGTCCAGCCAACTGGAGATGATTAGGCATTATCTCCATCATCGGGATTGGTTGCAACATGGTTACATGTCTACAGTAATTAAAACTACATTTGTGTTATTTATTACAACATAAAGATATTTAGGAACGAAGTTAGGTATTTAAAGTAGAATTACAAACTGCGTTAAAAAAATGACGGCAACACCTTCTTTTTTGATGACTTAATTTGATTATTCTGTAAGGTGAATTTATCTTTTAAAATACCGTGCCTACTCTGAATACTCACCTTGTTCTTGAATTTTGACGTGTCTTAATCCAACAGCTATAGGTTAGTTCACCACCAAAAGCAATTAAATCATTACCATAGGCATCTATACCTAACTGCACAATACGCAAAATATATTTATAGTATTCATACAAAGGCAATACTATATTTCATTGTTGCCAAACAAACAGAAATGTTATATAATATACCATTATCAATATCTACATCGTTAAGCTTACCCTATATCGTTATAACTCCTCTCTATAACCCACTAGGAAGTCTCTAGCCACGTTTATCTACAAGTGACGTGCACAACGGCTATTTAATAACAGTTATTTATGAACTCCATGGAGCCGCGCAACGATCATTTAGTTTTAGTTTTTATGACAATTTGTTTCACTGGATTAATGTTTCGCTAGTTTTTAATGGTGTTACTTATGTAGCGAGTTTTTTGTTCTTTGAGATAGTGCTGTTGTTTATGTTGCTTTATTCTATTTTTGTCTTTTTACTGGAGCTTTTTATTTTCAAATACTTTCTCACAATATTATATTATTTCTCTTTTCTTAAATAAGGGAATCGTTTAAGTATTTATTTATTAGTTACACACATAATGCATTTGTGGAGTGTCTATTTATTAGATAATCTTCAATTTTGTAAATGATTTTATAAGCATAGTGAATAAATTTAGTAGTAATTGTTTGTTATTTGTTTTCAGATCATTATCGAGATTGGAGCAATAAATAGCTGTGAGTACTTTCATTTTAAAATACACACAACACAGTTTAATGTACTATAAACACATAGTAGATGTTAAGTATGTTATACAGGAACGAAATACAAGTAAAATTAGTGAAGGCTATTGACACACTATTTTATTGCGTCTTATGTTTTTTACTAATTCGCGGGCTCAGCCACGCACCATAGATAAGTTATCACCATAGACTATACTACGACCATAGACTATAGCACAGATACACAACAGTACAGATGAATAAATAATTAAATAACAACATAATAATGTGTTGACTAATAAAATTCTAGTTTTGTATTCCGAACATGTATTGACACACTGAATTATTAATATTATTATTATCTTGATCAAGGATCAACTGCTACAGTCAAAAACCAACCTTATGCCTCTACTTTTAATTATAAAAACAATTTATTTTGTCTGAATCTGAATCGTTAGGGTACAATGTACGTATAAAGGATGATTGCGTTTCTGTAACGACTACATAGACTGAACAATTTGTTTTATTATAATCAGTCCCTTAGAGGGTGCTAGCATTTTATTGTTGGAAGGTGAAATTACACACAGATTGTGTTTGTACTCGCTAGTTCTAATGTTCTGGAAATATTGGAAAGATCTAGAAAGGTTCTGAGTATATGAAGATAATACATGTACAGTTAGCCAAGTCATTTTGTATACAGGTAAGGATATGAATATTGATTTAGTATAGATACAGAAACTATTTGTTGGCTACAAAAGTGATAGTTACATTAAATTATGGCTTCGTTAAAAAACATGCATAGTTGCATTTTAGCATAATGTAAGTTACTGTCTCGTATCTTGAATTAATCTTCATTTTTTACCTGCAAATCATGTATTACTTTATGTATATAGGTACTTATGTAAGTATAATGGATTTAGCTACAATTATGTTCAAACAGGCGAGATAGTGGTCAAACGTCGGTCCATCAAATATATAAAAAAAACAAAGAAGCGATACAGATATCGATTTGTAGACTAGTGTCTACAAATGTGTATCAATATCTATATCGCTATAAATCATTGCTAAAATTAACTTATTACTACAGCTTCAAGACAAAAATTAAGTTAAGTCAAATTCATGTCCAATTTAAGGACGAAATTATACGTTTTTTTCTTTCCTCACTTACCAAAACAAGATCTTTAATTAGTCGAAAAAGGTCTTAATGAATTTTTCTTCCGACAAATGGTTTAACTAACCCACTTTAAAATACAATGAAGGGTCCGGTCTACGTGTCCTATTATTCTTTCATTCGATAAGAAAACTCCGTGTACCTAACGCTAATTGAAGAAAAACGTCATTCATCTGTAATAGAAAAGGCTGAATTCAAAATAATTTAGTTTTAGATCTAAGAATAAGAAAAAGTTTAGTAGCAAAATAATAATAAATACGCAGTACCTCCGGAGACTGATTCAATAAAAAAAAACTTTTTAATTTTTTTAAAGATATTCAATACCAAATAGTTTGAAGCGAAAAAGTCTATATTGTATGCCATATATAGGGTGATAGAAAAGTTCATTTATTTGTAGAATTTAGATATCTGGACACTTAAAAATGAAATATAAAATGTGTTCACTTAAACTGCATAATTATATTTGCGACTGACTTATGTGACACATACATATTTATTATTCCTACGCACATACAGTTGTCCCTACAATACAAAATACTGTAGTTGACTTACTTTTCTATGAATTTTGTATTGGATCGCAGCTTATGACGTCATCATATGTCTGCTTTTTTTATTTAATATTTAAATATTGTGTTGTGACGTTCAAAAGTGCCTTCCTGGTCTAATTGAAATAAATGATTTTGACTTTGACTTTGACTTGACTGCGTCAAATAGCATACCTACTTATTTCCTTAAAATTAGCTAGAAAAAATCCAAAAGTAGGTAAATTGTCAAACCAATAAAGATAAGAGTATGATTATGTTTTAATTATTTATTGCATTGCAAGTAGAAACAGTTTATTTTAAACCTAGGAAACTAGCCAATTACCTCTACGTCATTATATTAATAAAAATCTTACATATTTTGATGTTTAATTACATTACCTATAGAAAAGTTACAGACTAAAAAACATCTCCACCTCCTTTCAGTTATCATCAAAACAAGTCACATAATATCTTAACGCTGATTGCTTTGGTTTTGTCTAATCACGAAGTTTATTCAAACAATTCGTGAAAAACATTCCCCTTTGTATGTCAAGAGCTGAAAGGGCTAGATTAAAACACGAACAGCCTAACCTCAGTGTTTGTGTGAGAGGTAAATTGGTCGTCATCGTCATTTGAGCCTCCTTTGTACTGAATGTGGACCACTCGACCTAGCTTACGCGTCCAAGGTTTTAAAATAGAGTCTTTATTCTGTGAGGGATAAGGGTGATTTTTATTGTGATAATGAAAAAACAAAAACTGTTGCTAGTTTCCTAGGTTTAAAATCATTTTTTCAACTTTTCAATGCAATAAATTATTAAAAAATAATCATAATCTAATCCATTGATTTGACAATTTACCTTTGGACAATTTAAATTTACTTTTGAATTTTTTCTCGCTGATCTTAAGGAAATAAGTATGCTATTTGACGCAGAATTATGGTGACGTCATAAATTGCGATTCAATACAAAATTCATAGAAAAGTATCGTTTTTGACATTTAAATAAAAGTATTGAATTTGACTACCTGTCAGCTACCGTATTAGCATGGAGGTTGATATCATAAGATTCCTAATAGTATCTACTCACATCAGTAGCCTATAAGTGGCTACTGATGACCGAAGGCCCCTTCTCACATTCATTACCTACCTATATAAAATGCATTAGAATCTACTAATGCATTAGAGTAGAGTAGACTAGACTGTACTAGACTAGAGAGTAACTCTCGCATTTCTAGAACTAAATAACTTAACAACTACCAAAAAACTACACTCTAAAAACCATCCTAACTATCTATATACCTCTTCCGGTGAAATAGATGAGAGAAAAACATAATACTCCTTCCCCTTTTCAAGTCATTAATAAGTTCACGGGTATCAGGTGTATGTACCTTGTACCTGTCACTGCTCGATATATTTCTTTAGTTACCTACAACGACCCTCGTGGGGACATATGGAATAAGGATTTGAGCTTATTCGAAGAGAAGCAGTAAAATTGGATTTACTTATTATGTGTATTTCTTATTTTATTTTATAACACAAGCTTTCCCGCCTTGGGTTGGCGAGAGGGAGTGTCAGAGTCTTACCTTTTTTTTTTATACATAAACGTTGCCCCACACTAGGATTTTCTCCTGTGTCGTGGGTGCGTTTACAAACATACAAGTTCACATACACAATGACACCCAGACCCGAAACAACAATTTGTGGATCACACAAAGTGTTGTTCCGTGCGGGAATCGAACCCGCGACACGTTGCACGGCAGCCAGTTGCCCAGCCACCGCACCAACCGTGCAGTCGTGCAGCCAACTTACTGACTGACAATCACCCCGTTCCTACTCCTGCTCTTCTATCTACATTATCTTAATGTATCACTAGCTTTAGCCGGCGGCTGTGCAGGTTCTTGTAATCCTACAGGGATTAAAAGTAACCTCTGCATTGTATCAGACCATAATCATCCTTGTTCTAAATTTCATCTCGATCCTTTCAGCCGTTTTGACGTAATTGAGTTACAAACATTCTCACACATGATATAATATCTGTCTGGACTTAAAATAACAATGACATCGGAGTTTGTTTCAACGTTTCTTCTCAGAGTAGTCAGGAAATACCGGCCTTCATCTGGTAATTTAAAGATTGACTTTGTAATACATTTGCAGAAATAAATGACATTTTATTTCATTTCACACGAACACTCAAAGTTTCGCATTTATAATATTAGTAGAGTAGCTTTCCGCTTCGATCAATGAACAAAAATACTACCTACTTTATTTTAAAGTTTCCTTTGAAATTGTAACTAATTAATTAATATTACATTGTTTGAACTCGAGACCAATGATATCAAATGCCACTATCATGTCTCCACGCTCTTTGTTCCTAAAATGACATTGATAGAATGACAACTGGTCAAAATCCTTGTAGTGAAATATCAAAGACATTTTAAACTATAATTTAGATTTACCGGCTGACATTTTCAAAAGATTGTGAGGAAATTATTGCTGGTTCTACGAATCTTGTAAGAAGGGATTGTTGTGGCATACGAACGTAATATTATACGATATTACAAGAAATAACATTAATGTTACATTTCACGAAGAGTCAGAAGTGCACATTACGGCACTTAATGCCATTGTACAATGTAACACCCTCTTTTCACTATTTATTTAATAAGGGGTGAGTCTATTGCCATATACCGGGTATAATTTTAGATTCTACAAATGAGAATTAAAAAAAAAACAGTAATACTTTGCCCGACACGGGAATTGAACCCCTTACTCATCAGTCGCACTTGCGACCACTCGGCTACTGAGGCAGCCATTTCAATTTCGAGAGAAATAGTAAAAATCATTGGCGAAGGGAGACTTTAAGTATTAAATCATGTAACGAGTGCATATAAAGCATAAATAATAAGTTAATAAATTAATTTAATAATATACTGAAACCATTCTGTTTTCATAAATATGAAATCTGTGGTTGTTAATGATGGTTCATTAATGAACGGTGTTGAATATTTTAAAGTTAAAGGCGTATATCAGAAAAATATAAAATAACTTCATAATCTTTTTGCAAAGGTTTTATATCGGAAAGGGCTTTGGAAATGTATTTTTTTTTAATCTATACATAATTACATATGCATCTTAAAAGTGAAAACTGTTGACAAATACAACAGTATATCCCTGGTTCTACCTCCATAAAAAATCTGTAACATAATTATTTATTGTATTCTATGAATAAAATAAAAAGGAATACAATAGTTTACACAGTACCATGTGTTTATATAGGATTGTAAACAATAAGAATCAACAAAGTAAAGGTATGAGAATATCA